TAATGAGAACGGTGATAGGTCTAAATTCATTTTAACTTGTAATCCACATTACCTTATGGCTCATTTTTAGTGCTAAATAATAACACAACTTGAAGACTCTGTCACCAATGAGATTTTCAGAAAACCTCCACATCCGGATGGATAGATAGACACACAACCTAGTGGAGTAGCTATAGTGTTAGTACTAATAGATACACTGCCTAGTGGAGTAGCTAGTGCTAGTCCTGATAGATACACAACCTAATGGAGTAGCTATAGTGTTAGTACTAATAGATACACTGCCTAGTGGAGTAGCTAGTGTTAGTTCTGATAGATACACAACCTAGTGGAGTAGCTAGTGTTAGTGCTAATAAATACACAATCTAGCGGAAAAGCTAGTGTTGGTGTTGATAAATTCACTGCCTAGTGGAGTAGCTAGTGCTAGTCCTGATAGATACACAACCTAATGGAGTAGCTAGTGTTAGTACTAATAGATACACTGCCTAGTGGAGTAGCTAGTGTTAGTTCTGATAGACACACAACCTACTGGAGTAGCTATAGTGTTAGTGCTAATAAATATACAATCTAGCGGAAAAGCTAGTGTTAGTGCTGATAGATTCACTGCCTAGTGGAGTAGCTAGTGCTAGTCCTGATAGACACACAACCTACTGGAGTAGCTATAGTGTTAGTGCTAATAAATACACTGCCTAGTGGAGTAGCTAGTGTTAGTCCTGATAGACACACAACCTACTGGAGTAGCTATAGTGTTAGTGCTAATAAATACACTTCCTAGTGGAGTAGCTAGTGTTAGTCCTGATAGACACACAACCTACTGGAGTAGCTATAGTGTTAGTGCTAATAAATACACTGCCTAGTGGAGTAGCTAGTGTTAGTCCTGATAGACACACAACCTAGTGGAGTAGCTAGTGTTAGTCCTGATAGATACACAACCTAGTGGAGTAGCTAGTGTTAGTACTAATAGATACACTGCCTAGTGGAGTAGCTAGTGCTAGTCCTGATAGATACAAAACCTAATGGAGTAGCTAGTGTTAGTACTAATAGATACACTGCCTAGTGGAGTAGCTAGTGTTAGTCCTGATAGACACACAACCTAGTGGAGTAGCTAGTGTTAGTACTAATAGATACACTGCCTAGTGGAGTAGCTAGTGCTAGTCCTGATAGATACACTACCTAGTGGAGTAGCTAGTGTTAGTGCTAATAAATATACAATCTAGCGGAAAAGCTAGTGTTAGTGCTGATAGATTCACTGCCTAGTGGAGTAGCTAGTGTTAGTCCTGATAGATACACAACCTAGTGGAGTAGCTATAGTGTTAGTACTAATAGATACACTGCCTAGTGGAGTAGCTAGTGTTAGTCCTGATAGACACACAACCTAGTGGAGTAGCTAGTGTTAGTCCTGATAGACACACAACCTAGTGGAGTAGCTAGTGTTAGTCCTGATAGATACACAACCTAGTGGAGTAGCTAGTGTTAGTCCTGATAGATACACAACCTAGTGGAGTAGCTAGTGTTAGTCCTGATAGACACACAACCTAGTGGAGTAGCTAGTGTTAGTCCTGATAGATACACAACCTAGTGGAGTAGCTAGTGTTAGTCCTGATAGATACACAACCTAGTGGAGTAGCTAGTGTTAGTCCTGATAGATACACAACCTAGTGGAGTAGCTAGTGTTAGTCCTGATAGACAAACAAACTAGTGGAGTAGCTATAGTGTTAGTACTAATAGATACACTGCCCGGTGGAGTAGCTAGTGTTATGGCTGATAAATACACAATCTAAGGGAATATCTAGTGTTAGTGATGATAGATACACAGCCTAGTGGAGTAGCTATAGTGTTAGTACTGATAGATACACTACCTAGTAGAGTAGCTGGTTTCAGTGCTGATAGATTCACAACCTAGTGGAGTAGCTAGTTTTTGTGCTGATAGATACACAACCTAGTTGAGTAGCTAGCGTTATACTGATAAATACACTACCTAGTGGAGTAACCAGTGTTAATGCTACATTAGACTTGCCAAGACTTATGCCACTTTCAAATTAACGATACAAACTTTCTATTTGTCTTAAAATCCTTCCCCTCCATCTAAAGAAAATTGAAATTTGGGCTGCCCACCCAACCCGCCTCACGTGCAGAGGCGTAGCTAGAATGTTTGGCACCAGGGAGGGGGGGACATTGATTCAATTTCACGCCCACCCCCCCCCTCCTCAACTCTGAAAACCATTATTTTGATGCATTAAATACCATAGCAAACCATTTCGGCGTCCAGCTAGTATGGTGCAGGGGGTATACCTGTCCCCTCCACACCCCTTAGCTACGCCTCTTGCAACTGTTACTTCCCTCGCCCTCTCCCAAAAAATCTGAAATGGCACAGCGGGGAAGATTTTCTGAAAGAAACACTGGACTGTTCGGCCTTGATGTCCGTGAACTGCCAGACCTTGAGGCAGATGATGACGTACGTAGTTACCATGACGCCCAGCGGCAGAATGAACAGCAGCTCGAGCATGTACATCTCGTAGAGGACGTGGACGTGTTTCCTGTATCAATATGTCTTGATTCTCACGCCAACCTCATCGTGATCCCAGGTCATATTGTCCACGGTTATATTTCCAAAACTAAAATAAATATTGACCGAGATGATACCTATGATGCATACATAAAACCGAGACAGGAGTTTTATACTGCCTCCATTTAGAGTTGTCTGCCGACTTAAAAAAAAATATTTACGCCCACCTTCTAGCGCCCTCTAAAGTTTTTTTGTTGTATCGCCTTGTTCGTAGCGAATCTGACAAACCCTCTCAACACTCATTCTAGTAGCTAATATGAACAACCCTCATTCTAGTAGCTAATATGAAATACCCTCATTCTAGTAGCTAATATGAACAACTCTCATTCCCGTAGCTCATCTGACATGCCCTCATTCTCGTAGCTAATCTGACAACCCTCGTTCTTGTAGCGAATCTGACAAAACCTCTCAACACTCATCCTCGTGGCTAATATATGAACAACCGTCTTTCTCGTAGCTAATCTGAAAACCCTCATTCTAGTAGCTAATATGAACAACCCTCATTCTCGCAGCTAATCTGACAACCCTCATTCTCTTAGCTAATCTGACAACCCTCATTCTCGTAGCTAATCTGACAACCATCATTCTTGTAACTAATCTGACAACCCTCATTCTCGTAGCTTATCTGACAACCCTCATTCTCGTAGCTAATCTGACAACCCTCATTCTCGTAACTAATCTGACAACCCTCATTCTCGTAGCTAATCTGACAACCCTCATTCTCGTAGCTTATCTGAAAACCCTCATTCTCGTAACTAATCCGACAAACCGCTGACAACACAGAAGTTTCATCAAGATTTTTAGAAACGATTTCAACCAGGGCTCCATGGAGTCCAAAAGGCTCCTTGTCCACTTCTCACGTGCTCCTTGTCCACTTCTCAGGGACTCCGTGCCACTTCAGGGGCTCCTTGTCCACTGCTCAGGAGCTCCATGGCCCATCAAAGAAATAATATAACATCAGTAATTTGTAAGACATAGGGTAAGCACAAGCGCTGCATCCCTCCACAATACATTTACATTAAAAAGGACTCTGGAAGTCGATTTTTCCTTCAAGCACTGTGTCAGCACATATATTTTGTTTTAGACGATAAACCTGAATTACTTTTGACCCCATGACTCGCCAAGTTGTATGCGGACATGTTCAGTGATATTTACGGGACAGGTTTGACAGCTTGGTAATGAGCTAATTATGGCCTCACTGTGTGAACACGCCTTATCGTGTTTATATCCTATAGTAAACTGTGTGCTACTCTATCTATGGCTATGTGCTTCCCTATCTATGGCTATGTGCTTCACTATGGCTACGTGGATCCATATCTGTGGCTAGGGGCCTCTCAATCTATGACTATGCGCTTCCTTATCTATGGCTACGTATTTCCCCATCTATTGCTACGTGCTTCCCATCTATTGCAAACATTTTACCCCTTGCTATCTAGCATCGTATATAGCTTCCTATCCACTACATACACGTGGACTGAAAAGGCATGCTAGTGATAATTAGCACGATATCGCTCTTCGAAACCAATTATGATGAAGTAATAATGTACGAAAAAATAGTTAATACGAGACTATGCCCTATTTTGGATAATCAACGCCCTACTGTATCGCTATTAAATTAAAGCCAGCGAATATTATACCTTTAATGTAATTGACATTACTGGCGAGACATTACTGATTTAATATTTTTTTTACGTAACACAATCATGACACTCATCCTAAAAGTCATCACTTTTAACTAACACATTCATGGCACTCATCCTAAAAGTCGACACTTTTAAATAGCACATTCATGGCACTAATCCTAAAAGTCGACACTTTTAACTAACACATTCATGACACTAATCCTAAAAGTCGACACTTTTAACTAGCACATTCATGGCACTCATCCTAAAAGTCGACACTTTTAACTAGCACATTCATGACTCTCATCCTAAAAGTCGACACTTTTAACTAGCACGTTCATTGCACTAATCCTAAAAGTCGACACTTTTAACTAGCACATTCATGGCACTAATCCTAAAAGTCGACACTTTTAACTAGCACATTCATGGCACTAATCCTAAAAGTCAACACTTTTAACTAGCACATTCATGACACTCATCCTAAAAGTCGACACTTTTCACTAGCACATTCATGGTACTAATCCTAAAAGTCGACACTTTTAACTAGCACATTCGTGGCACTAATCCTAAAAGTAGACTATATTACGTAGCCCATTCCTGACGTTCATCTTAAAAGTATACAATATTACGTAGCCCATTCTTGAGGTTCGTCATAAAAGTAGACATTATACGTAGAGAGATTCAACACCACAGCTTCACAATGTTAAACAGCAATTTTGGACAAAACTTCCGTACCGTAAACTGATAGCAAAGATAAAAAAATAATGATTCGCTTGAAAATAACTAGTATTTTATGACATATTAGGTCAAACAATGCATTATTTAAAACTGTGCAGAAAACGCCTCTACTCCAATGTACTTCACGAGTCTCTCTCGTCAAACGTCGGTGCCTTTTATTTCCTTATTTTACCTGGAACGATGAAAAAATAACCCAGACAGTATTAGAATAAATGTTTAAATGAAAATGCTGTAATTAAGAATTGTCATTTCTTACTGTCAACGTCAAATCAATCCTTGAGATTTTTGGCGTTTATTTTTCATTCATATTTGATCAGGAATTCATGATTTTTAAAAATTATGAGAATCCTTTATCATACATTTCCCTTTTTTTAAATATATGGACGGAATGAGATACGATACAAAGGTTTACTGTTGTATGATTAAACAGCTTAGAATCATCGACACACACGGCCTCTTTATCTGATAGACACGCGTATTCTCTTTATCTGATAGACACACGTGTTCTCTTTATCTGATAGACACACGTGTTCTCTTTATCTGATAGACACATGCGACCTCTTTCTGATAGACACACGTAGACTCCATAGCTGAATGACACAACAGTGCTTTTTACCCTAGAACAAACTATGGACACAGCGCTCCTTAACCTAGAGCTATTATGGACATCGCTCGCTCCTTATCATTAAAAGCTACGATGGGCGCAGTGCTCCTTACCCTACAGCTGCTATTTACACAGTGCTACTTACGAAATGGCTTGTATGTTCACACGTCCATTTGCCGCTTCTCAGTCTCAGATAGTAGGACGCTTTTGTGCAGCAACGATATTCCTTATATCCAACGATAACCTTTTGGAGCCCGTTTTTAACTCCTCCACAAGCATCAATCCCTTCATCAGCCGGATAGTCTGTGGAGTAGTCGTTAACTTACGGTTACTTTGGTTAGGGTTAGGGTTAGGGTTAGGGTTAGGGTGTCATAGTCTGTTTATATCTGCTCGGTTTAGTCAAAGGAGGAAAGTATATTATGTCTACATATTTTAACGCTCGGTATCAACAATTTTGTTGTGTTTTTTTAATTAATATTCTCAACCATTTCTGACATCATTCGAGCAGCATGCAGCTCTTTTGCAGCAATAAATGTCTTTTCCCATAATTGCTTTCACTATTCTGAATAACATTAATAACATTTAAACCATGCACCCCCCTTCCTGCGGCACCAAAACTACTTTTTTTGCATTTAAAAATGGCTCCTCACTCAAAAATGTTTACCGGCCTATGTTTCTTTCTGATAGCTCTCGGGGGGGGGGGCGTGCACTACTCCCTTCCATCCACCCGCGGGAAAAATTCAAGTGCCGCCCGGAGCAAAATATATGCAACACTAAAACGTAAATATATTTTATTAAAAAAAAATCTTTTGGTCATTTTTAAGACAAATTTAAAAAGACTAGAAGCGGGTGCCATTACCCCATTACAATTAGCGGACACTATGAAGAATCGCTGCCCTCAATATATTTGATATTCGTAAATTTAAGACTAATCCTGTTTGAGACTTGCAGTATTTGATTACTTCGTACTTTTTTTTTTTTAAATTGGTTCCAGCCGATTATGATCCAAAGGCTTACTTCTCATTGATCGCATATATCGGTCATTGTATTTGATAATTTTTGCAACCTCACAGGTTTAAAGGCTTTAATAAATTGTAATTAAACTACCTTTATATCAATATTAAGGGTCTATAATTTTTAAAGAGCTCTCGCTAAAAAAAAAGGGGGGGGGGTAGAAGCAGCTGCCACCGATATGATTTATCGGGACGCTATTTCCTCGCTCTTCTTGACTGACTTTAGAGTTTCTCCAGGTGGCAAGATTATTCTAGGAAATACATGTATTTATTTTCTTATTTATATTTTTTTTTTGTGAGCAATATCATGAAATGACAAACCTGGGATGACAGGCTTGTTATATGGGGCACAGCCATCCAGCAACCGAAAATACAATTGAAGTTGTAGAATTATAACTGAAAAAAAGAAATGCGGGAAAACGAATTAAGTGTCTCTTATAATCACTAGATATGATAATCTGATTTGCTGAACACGGCGAGGAATCATTATTTGGATATCGCCAAAACAGTGGCACCTCGAGATACGAATGTAATTCGGTACGTGACCTTGCTCGTGTCAATTTTCTCGTATCTCAAAGCAATTTTCCCCCATTGAAATTAATAGAAATTCCATTAATACATTCCAGCCCCCAAAATGCCTCCTAAGTTGTTTTTGTTACACGTTTTGAATAAGGAAACTATATTTATGGATGACAAGCTTTGTATAAAAACATAATGAAAGAGAATGTAAAGAAATAAACTGGTTTTATAAAGTGTATTTACCTTGGAAATCAGCCGACTTGAGCTGACGGAAGATGCTGGCAGAGGTGTAGGATGGAGGAGATGGGCGAAGGAGCTCCACTTCGTTCACTTACCGGCTACACTGTTAATGCTAAACTCGTTCGGTCACTTGAAGTCACTCGTTACACTCTTAATGCTATATTTTATAAATAAACTTAATGGAACTTAACTAAACTTTCCTGAACTTAATTGAACATACTTGCCACTGTACACATGTTTTGAAACTTTCGCTTAATTTGCGTCACTGCAGCCGGCCAACCCGCTGATCCGGTTCCTCGTATCTCAAATATTTCTCGTATCTCAAAGCACATCATCATTCGCTCGACGGCTCATATCTCAAAATTATCGTATGTCAGGGCACTCGTATTTCGAGGTACCACCGTATTCTAATATTTCGTTATTTTTATCGTTACTGTCAGGGTTTCTTTCAAGCACCTTTCTGGGGGGGGGGGGGGGGGGGGGGGGGGGGGGGGGACAGGAGGGCACCGTCCATCTGGGAAAGTCAAGTGCCCCCTCCCCCACCTCCTCCACAGCAAAATGTCTCATTTTAAAAACTATTTTAAAAATAGTAATATCTGGCGATTTTCCCCGTGGAAAATTAGTGGAACCAATAGATATCGCTACGCTCGATATATTTGATGACCCAAATATTTAAGGCTAATCTTGTTGATGGCTTACAGTTTTCCATTATAAATATTGTACTGGCCGCTCGTGATTACAAGCCGAAGTCTTACGTCCTGTTATCGGACTTATCGGTATTGTTATTACTTTTTTGGGTTTTGTTTCGCAACTTCACAAGTTTAAAAACTTTAATAACATTGTAATTAAAATACCATCTTGTTAATTTAAAGGAACACAATTTACTCTACTACATTTTTTGCTAATTATCAATATACGCAATCTTTTTTAAAATTATAATTCATTATAAAGACATTACGTTTAAATGAGGGATAGGTATTAATTAAAAATTGTATGATGATATTAGACTTTAAAATGTTTTTTAATAGCAACATTTTTAATGTACTAGATTCCTTGAATGTTGAGTTATAAAAAATGGAAACTTAAAAAATTGAATAATGTTTTTTTTTAAAAAAATTAAGAATTTGATGGGCGCATACAAATAGTGCACATTTCATCAATTATTATATCAAAAGAGTTTGTGTGGTTTTTTTAATGTGCTACTTTTGCAACACAGTTTCCTGAATAACAAAAAGAGGTTAAAAAAAATACTCAGTCTATATTTATTAACTTCCGACCCGCTTATGTCTTTTTAATATTAGAATAAGAAACAAACTGTCTCATCTATTTCCAAGCATTTTTTTTAAATGTTTTTTTCTAGATGAGAATTTATCAGAAAGGTAAAAACAAAATAAAAGGAATTTTTGTGAACTAGCGTTTCGATTATTTCATTGTATAGACCTTTCCAATTAACAATTTGTTTTCTTTCTATTTGACTCTGGTAAAATTCGCAAATATTTAGCGAAGGCAATTATTTCACGTAATTTGATTATTGTAAGTAATTTTATTTTCATTTCCGTTCAACAATGAAGGTAATCTTTTTTTAAATATTTTTTTATCTTTCTTTTGAAAATTTATTTATTTATTAACTATGTAGGTTTAAATGAAAATTGAAAGCCACAATACTATTTAGTAATATATAAAAATTATTTTGACAACACAACTGCGTCAAGCGCGGAGACGTCGATCGACATTTCGAGCCCCCCCCCCCTTTCGCCACTTTTTTTTGGGGTCCTCCCCTGACTTTACATTGAAAGATGATATGTAAGAAAATATACACTTCATATCTTTAAGTCCCTCAAATATCAAAGACCCACTGCCGTCGTAAGGGTTGCTGGGCTCACATGATGTTTCTAAGGTTAAGTGACACCTAGATGTTTAAAACTAGCGTCTCTTCCGTTGCTCTCCAAGTATAGAATGTTGCAAAACTATGTTACAGTATTTGGTAAAATTAATTCTTTTATTTTCAATTTTTAAATTTATCAAAAGTTTTCTTGGGACTTTAAAGATTTAATAGGCGATTTTAAGCTAGGGAAAATGCATACCTTCAAGGGGCGCCACAACTGGAATAGGTTATGTCCCACTGATGAGGCGTCAAAGATGTCTTTGGTCATTATTAGGGCTATTTAATTAGCACTTCCCACGCGAAAGTTGATATTTCACCTCAAAAATTGTCTGAAAGAAACACTGAATTCAAGTATGCGCACAAAATCCATCCCTGCATTTTGAATTTACTCTACTTTATTCGGCACCGTCAATTTCTACACCACTTCAAACACGTTGATTAATTTACAGTATTGTGTTATGTAGCACAATTTCCTGTGTGTAAACTTTCCTCGACCTCGTAGTACACTCCTAGCAGACAGTAACGTCTGTTGTGGGCGTGGTTAAATCTCTTTGAAGTATCTTGTTTACAATCCGCTTCCAATTACGCATTGGGTAGAATGTCTCCGGGTATCTTCTGGAATGTACTCCTTAACCCGAGATAATGTAAACAACACGTCATAAGCCCTTCTGGAAGCGTCTTACTCTACATGTATATAAAGGATTGACAGATACGAAGAGACGGAGATTTCAGATAGATTTTCTTAACATTACGAGGCGTGTTTTATTCTTCGTGTATTTGTGTGCTTATATGTCATATGTGTTTATTTCGCATTATTTATTGGCACATTTTTCTAACCGTGTTAACTGTGTACCGGTACAAGATCTACCATACTGTAAGTTGAAGATTGTAATTATATTTTCTTTTCTTTTGTAATTATCTTTAGACTTAATAAATTTTAATTAATTGTAACTAGAAACTGTTTTGGGTGTCGTATCTTTAATATTGTTGACTTTATGGTATCGTCCTTTGTTAGGCACTGTTTACAACGAGCCAATTAAAATTAAAATAGGGGATTAATTTCTCCCAATACATGTCAGTGCGTAACAATTGGGTTGAACATAAGCTTGTGCCAAATGGTTACTCTGGAGTATGCCACAACTTCATCATGATTCTTTTATTACATTTCTACTTAAAATGACATGTTGGTTTAACTTGTTACTAACTATTTTATAAAAAATGAACGTTTTGCAATTCTCGACGGCTTCTTTTGTTAGATGTCATCCTACTACTAATGGTAATGGCTATTTAACTCTGCGAACTTTTGGAGACCTATATTTTAAAAAAAAATCCATCAAATGTAAATTAATAAATAATATATTTGCAAGCACAAATCAAGTGAACAATTGTAGAGGCTTCCTTAAACATGCATTACTATGTGAGTTACAAATTGACTTATTTAGCTAGAAGTCGTTGTCGTGTCCCAAAGTATTGACTTAAAAAGTGACAGTACAAGTAATGAAAAATGTTGAAATATTTATCCGCACACTTTGGGAATCACTGATACGGACGATTTCTTTTGAGGCTTGAGAACTAAAATTGATACATGGGTTTTAAAAAGGACACGAGACAGACTTTTATTGATGCATTAAGTGTTTGCGCCCAAAAACTTCTATGACCGAAGCTAAGACCTGTGTTTTTTTTCTAACGTCAGTAATTAAGATCACAATCTTGAAGTAAGGTAAAGTTTTTAATTTTAAGTGTAGTTCGTCTCCCTTTTCGGTCTACATTTTTTGTTTGTTTAAGTAAACAATAGACCTACAGATGTGGACTGACAACAGACACACTGCCACTACAATGAGTCGCATTAAATATCACATCTTACCCGTGCGAAGAATTGGTTCGCCGTGTCCCATTTGAGCGCAGTTTGCAAGCCAAAGGAAGATCATCACAGTAGCGATGGATTTGATGGCCATCTTGGCAGACGGGGAAATGAAGAGCTCTTTTTTTATCGTGGTAAAAAATCAGTTGGTCTCTTCAGTGGTCACTTCTCTGGTCACTTCAGGGGCCACTTTAGTTAAATTATAGAGACTGTTGTGGCTTGGTATTTTGCGTGTAAAAATACATATATTAATGATTGAGGCAGTCTCGAGTAGACATCTCCTGCACACCTTCCTCTGGGACGCTATCATTAATCTGTGACTTGTCATTAGTATTATAAATTAGTTTGTTGGCGCTATGAAGTTGCCTTATCTTATCTTGTAAGATTGCTATACCAGAAAGGGGACATCAAAAATAAATTGCACTCGGACGAAATTCAATCTTTTAATCGGATTACAATTTTTGCCATTTTTTCGTCATACTGGGTTTGATTTAGAGTGACTATAAATAAGATGTTTAAATTGCCTCTTCTTAATACATTCTTATCGTTGGTTGGGTTAAAAATATAAGCCTCGGGAATATTTGTAGACCAGCTGGTGCCCCCCATAGATAACTTCGCCACTGACCAAGACAATATCTTTACTTAAACTGGGGCCCCCAAATGTTGTTCCTCAACACTCGCAAATAATATTTCTACGACTATTCTGGGTTATTAAGGTTATCCTGATAACTTATCAATACAGTTTCACCCAACAGTCTTACAACATGACATTCTCTTTTTTGCCTCAGATGGGAGACCTTGTCGCTTAGTAATTTGTCCGGATAATAATATAATCAGAAGCGTGCACTGATGACCAACAGATCATGAAAGATTGAATAGCCTTCGGAGGATGGGTAAGGGTACAGTTTAGTTAAACGTAGTTCAAAAGTGTCATGCAAGAATTAACCCAGGAAAAAACCACAGACACAATCGCAAAGCTAAGTACGAGTGGGTAAATGAAAGTTGTTTTGTTTGTTTTTTTTGTTTTTTTCAAGTTGTATTGGAGAGTTCAAATTGTTTGTCGTCTTTACTTCGTACAATGATTTATTTTTTTAAAATTTACTTTTAAAAACTTTCTGATGTGGCGTAGCTAGGAAGAGTGCTGCCCGGGATTCATAGTTATTTTTGACGCTCTCGTTCCATGAAAAATGCATCTGCAATTTGTAAAATATGCTGCTCCTTCGTGTCAAGAATAAGGTGCAGACCGTAGCTGACCGCCTCTCAGGTACATCATTGACGATTTAAATTAAAGTGTCTTCCTTTCCAAAAATACAGACTCAAATATTCTTTAGACCTTTTTAATTTCTATTTGGGCGATAAGAGGTGAAAAATCTCCGAAACTAGTCCCACTAAATTCTATATTATATATACTAGAGCCCGCAAAATGATGGCAGCCGCAGTGCGTGAACTTCCTATCTACCAAAATTACTTGACAAAATATGCATTCAAGTAGAGCACTGTAGAATAGTGACAGTACATTTGACATATCTGCACTAAAACGGTAGAGAATAAATACATTAAGTTGACTTGTATATTATGAACTGTAGAATACGCTCAGGTTTTAATGATTTCTAAATTGAGCATCAAGAAATGTAAGATGAAATAACTGCGTATTTGTAAAGGCAACGCTTTTTTCAAAGGTTGTCTCCCCATGCGTGAGTTCACACGATCGCGTTTTCGTTCAAGCATTTCATGCAAATTTTGTATGAACGCACTATTATGTGTGCGGATTTTCGGACACAACAGAGAATATGTTTTTCACTTTCAAGCATTTGTATGATGCAACAGCCAATAAAAAACGACTTTTTTTCATTCACGTGACACTACAGCTGATTTATCAAAATGGCAGCCATTCAAGTAAAGTGCGATTAAAATATTTTGAAAACAAGATATGGTCAAGTTAATCGCAACTTCAAAGTATAAATGCCATTTATGATACTCAAAAACTTGGCATAGTTTATATTTCACTACCACAAACCTGGCAGCTAAGGATTGCTTAGACGATGGACCATGACTGCACTGACAATTTAAAGAATATAAGTTGAACTCATATTCATAATAAAAAGGCCATAGTTGTATTAATAGGCCATAGGCGCAATAAATTTATTCATATATATATATTATATTAAATAATGCTAGTTGTATCAAGTAATATAGTCATATTACTCATACTTAAAGTAGACATTGCATAGTCAGAGGAAATTTCAGCAATTTTATGAAAAATAAATATAACACTCCCACTCCTACTGAATAGAACCACTAACTAGATAGTAGGCCTAAATTAAAATAGTAAATACTAAATTGCCACATTAAATAGTAAATTATCATGCGTATACTTGTTAAGTTAAGTATAATACTTATACTAAAAATTGTCTAAGTAGTCTTTATACTGTTTAATATTCCTTCCTTTTGTGCTCTTCGTGTTACTATACCACCGTCTTGTTCATTCAGGCCAAAGTTTATTATATTTTGTCTGTATTCAAGTACAAATTGTTTTATACTGCGGAATTCTACCATGGCATGCGGAGTACCTCTGGAGGAGTAGCAACTCTGATTGAGCAACAGTCATACCTTTTTGGGATAGCTAATCATTCGTTGGTCCCCACTCCGAACGCGGCTCTCACCTGTAGCTCCAAGAAGCTGTGACATGCACAGCAGTTACACCCCGGACAACGGTTTCAACTAGCCGGCAAAATCAAGTTGAAGATAGCCGAAGGGCGTAGAACCTTCGGTAAAAAAGGGGCTTGTCCCCCGTAGCATGTAAAAGACTGAATTCGACAAACTGTGCGGGGAAACTACTACCTGTTCAATGGACAATAGGCGGAGACATTAAAGTGAATTGCTGAGAGCATGGTCAGACACGTAGATCGCCATGATCATTCACTGCACCCCATCCCACCCCAGCCATCTCGACATTGTCTTGTTGCTGGATCAAGATGGTATTGGACGAGAGAGTGAGGCTGACGGCTCGCGCAACTCTTCCTTACTTAAATACAAATAAAAAGCGCGTTTCACTTTATCATCGAAGTTCTTATCAAAAAGTCCTGTGGCGATGGCCAAGCGGCGAAACGGAAGGTGTGGGTATACTGGCAGCCAATGTTCCCTCTAAGGTTTGCTGGTTCGTGTGCACAATTATACAGTTGTGTGCAAAGTTTTACAGCCCACAAACACACACGCACACGGAAATTACATATATAAAATTAAGGGCAACATTTTTTTATATGAATAAATAAAGGAATTATAGTTAAATAATTATAATTAGAAATGTCACATTATTTCAAATTAAAGCTATATTTATGTCTATTATTTATCCCGTTGTTGGGTCAAGCAACTAAATCCTAACACACCCTCTACCAATGGCTGCTGGTCATTTGATTGTCTAATTTCTGGAGATACTCTGGAGTCTGTTTTTCAACGATGTCCTTCTTTTATAAACATCGTCAAAGTTTATCTGATGCCCATCTTTCTGATCTGATTCAATCCTCATAAGCATATCTAAACGTGACTCTTACAGCATATTTCTCGATTTTAATTTGATATTATTCATTAGGCTAAATCTACGTTAACAATCGAACCTTATACAGAACGGCAATGTCACCGAAACGCTCCTCATTTATTACATATCAAAACATCTCGTCGAAAGTTTGCATCAACCCACATTTTAATTTTTCTGCAAAACCTAACCTAAAGTCACGATACTGATCCTTAACTTTCGGCAGAAGGTCATTAGAGTTTTCCCAGGAATGCCGCATATCTATTAACCAGTGCCGCAAGTTCTTCTCGGCCAAAATTAAAAGTTGAAGTGTCGATTTACGCTTACATCTCAAAGATTCGCATTTGCATCAAGTAACTTTTGGGAAACGAGATTCCAGGTGCAAACCTAAAAATTCAACGCATTTTAAGATGGTACTCATGTTTACATCCTCGTCATTTGCAAGCAATTAACCAACCTCTTTGGACCAGTGCACATTTTCACAAAGGTACTACGCACGGAGCCTAGCGATCCTTGCTTTGACAAACTGGTAGCCCGCGATGGTCGTAAGATGTTTTTATTTGTTGCATAATTCAGCAAGTTCACTAACAACTTCATCGAAACAATCAGTGCAGTTTGAAACTGCAAACCCTTTAGTTTCTTGAAACACTTGTTGTTGTTGTTCGTCCGTCGAGAATCGACGATGACCATCGAGTCTTACGGTGACTGATGACTTGCGCTAGTGACTTTTGTTTAAAGTGAGGAAGAGTTGCGTGGCGTCAAACTCACCCTCTCGTCCGGGCCCACCATATCCAGTGGCAAGACTCTAGATCAAGACGACCAGGGATGGGTACGGTTGCAGGAATTGTCATTGTATGCGCCTTACGGGACTCCAACTCCGGGTTTGAATTCAGAGTTTCTTTCTCTTAGATGAGTTGACGACCAAGGTACTTATGAACTGGATCATTATACAACCCCACCTGCTCCTCACAGTATATTCAGTCAACACTTGTATGTTTCTCAGCAATGCTCGTAAAGCAAAGTGCCACGAAAGCCATCTGATTTCATTAAATGGTAGAGAGACTATATACGGAATCACATACCAACACCTTAGCTAGTTCGGTAAACTGGGCTTTCCGTACTGTTGACCTACTGAACAAAATGTGTAAGCTGTGTTAAGTGATGTTTCAATGTCTACCATTAAATGTATATGTTTGAAAGCCTCACCGATGCCAGTGTCGTCCCGATGAAGAAAGCCATGTTGTTCCAGTAGATGTGGAATACGTCGGCGAAGAATTGCTGCAACGCCATTTTTCTTGCCTAGCAAGATGCACCATTAGAGGTAAAAAAATAACCATTTTCTGCATGTCCAATGAATTCTCTTGATAAAACTGCCGATTCCACAAATTTACTGGCACATGCAGACAGAGAACAAAATTCCAACAAACACGGTCTTGTAAACACTACCGAGATATGGCTGAAACTTTGCGTACAAGACCTTCATTTTTGTCAATGATATATCGATGCTCTCATCTACCATTAATGTGTGGAACTTAGCATTGTGAGGTTCGCTAATTATAGCATAATTCACTACAGAATCGATAGAATCAACAAACTCAAAAGCGTAATTCTTACTGCGCCAGCTATTAGGAAGTGGGGCATACTTAGCCATATAGTTGTGTATGTATTGAACCGCATTCAAAGAAGTTTTAACTTTGTTAGCCAAGATGACGTTGTCAATCAAAAGCTTAACCTAGTCTTCTTTAGCACTTTTACCTGATGCTACTTCTTGTCTCATGCCTCGAACA